GCAGTAAAATAGCTTCTCTTAAAAAGAAAATAAAATATCTTTAACGGGGCAATTTTAAAAATTCATTTTTACATTTTACATAGGTGGAAGGAACTTTGAGAAGTTTTCGCTGTGCTATGCCAAGGATGTTAATTTCATTTCATGTTATGTATGTCAAAATCATTAAAAAGAAATTATCTCCTACATGTTTTTTGATGCCCACTCCCTTTAAAAGTTACTAACTGTTAAGGCCAGAAGGCCTTTCTACAGCTCCCTAGAGGCTACCATTGTTTTGCACAAGTTAAGGCATCACCAACTCATGAGACGCTGTGGACAGGGCAGGGCAGTGTCTGCAGATTTCGTGGTTACATCATAAGTCTATACTGCTCCAATCCCAGCTGTATTCTTCAAACTTTCAGAAGATAACTCTTATTACTATATTTATTGCAAACACAAGGTCAAAGATAGCTGAAATCCCACAAGTTGATTTTAAAATTATCATTTTCTAGACTGTATAAAGCAAAGATTGAGTAACTACCTACACGCACACTCAAAAAAGTCCATGAGGACACTCAAATAATTCACTGCCTTCTAACAGAACACTTCATGATATTTTGAATGCTACACAGCTAAATACACAATTTATTCATTAGTAATATTTTCCATTTCAGGTCAATATAAACAAACCAGCTTACCAAACAATAGATTACGGCTAATGTATACTTAATATCATTGCAATTTAAATGATGTCTAAGTAACAGGTTTCCTAGATAACAGTATTGTCAGAATTCAAACATGCTTAGGTAATAATAGGTCAAGCATACAAAAATGCTTAGAAAAGAGACGATAAGAAAAAGAAAGAAATAAACTTCTTTAGACTGTTTTTTAATGAGAAAAAAAAAGGAAAAAATTACTTTATCTTTATTTAGACTATGAAAACAGTTTTAATACCATAAGATAAACTCTCAACAAAACCCAGTACAACAGCTAGTGTTACTGATTTAACAATTTTTTTTTCTTCCATTCCCAGCTTCAGTGAAGCAATTACTTATGTACAAATTCTTTGGTAATGGGCCCTGGACCTTTTCTATCTGACACATGAGACCAACATGTTAAATATTTACACCTCCTCCTTTTCACAAAAACATGAAGGGAAATTCTTATGAGTCTAAATGTCTTAAGAGTTTTAACATTCATGCCATATCATAGATAAGTAGTAGCTGTGGCTTTTCACTACACAAGATGTGGGTAGGAGGTTAGAAGACTGACTGAAGAGTCACTAAAACAATTACTTTTTTTTTTTTTTAAAAGGCAATTTCACTATTGGTAATATTAGAAATATTTTTTTAAAAAAGCTTGGCTTCTGAAATACATATTGAAACCATAGTACTGTTAATCGATAGTCAAAAGATAGTACAAAATGACACAGAAGTAAAATCATCTCACAATAATACCATAAAAGTACGGAGCAGCAAGAGACATGGATGCCTTCCAGATGAATATAAATGACAGCATGCAAAGCACAGAGAAAGTTTTTGCTGCAAAACTGTGATACAGACCTTTTTAATGGGCATATATTATAAAAACATTTAAAAGATTGTTATTTCAGCATAAAAAGAATGCCAATTTACATTACTCGTTACTTTTTTTTTTGGCTGGTGTTTTTATCTTTTAAAAAGTGCAGAAAAATTAATAAAAGCAGACTCTACTGTGCATTAAGGGAGGGCTCCTGAAAAGTGAGACAGCAATTTCTCAGAGAAAGCAATTTTTCTTCACCAGAATAAACATAACAAATGCATGTAAAGATTTACAAAATTCACATATTAAAATACACACAAGCACAGTATGAAGAATGCACAATGGAAAGGAAGGAGAAAATTATCAGAATTGTCACTGAATTGCTGCTTCTAATACCTGACAATCACCTCATGTTTACATCTTTCACTGTGACCAACAAAAATGAGGATGGTGAAAATGTAACTGCTCAAAAGGAGGCAGAAGCCAAATGTCACAGATTTATATCAGGCCTTCAGTCTCCTAGAAGTATCAGCTGAGATCTTTTGAAACATTGATCCCATCTGAAATGTCTGCATCTACTTCAGTTGACAATCCAACTCCTGCCTTCTATCCCCTATACTATGTACATACTATGCCTGTGTATTTAAATTATATCAGGTGGATGCATGGACACAATGTTAATTCTTACAGGAAAAGATGCTTTACTGGCAAACATGGGCACTTCATCTATTACACTAGTAAAGGCTAGCAAGCAGGGTCATGACTGGCAAAACAACTTTGAAACTACAAATAAAGCAGCAACACGTATCAGAGTATTCCTGTCTGAGAAATGTATACACCAGAGAGGCTGACAAGTAAAGTTTTGAAGCAAAAATCAGTTTAACCCAGGGTAAACCTGCTTAGACAGGGTGCTCTAAGAAGCTCATGAGTTTTGATAGGGAAACAATACATGCAAATAAGCAAGATCCAGCACAAGGAAGTGCTTTTTGCTCAGTTTATAATAAGGCTGCATATGTTCTGTGCACTTTGATAATCAGGGATAAAAAAAAGCCCACTGCTGTGCTGCACAGTTTGCAAGAGCAGTAGCTTCAATGACATCAGTCACTCCTGGTTTGGTGTTACCTCTCCTCTGCACCTCCTACAACTCTGACTAATCATAAGGAAAGACTTACTACAACAAACAAAACAAAGAAAGAATGAATATGCTGGGACTGTGACAGTCCCAGAATTTTTGGACTTTATATATATTTGCCTTTTTAAGTTTTCCAATGGTTTGAAGATCAAAGAAACAAAACTAGTATTGATACAAAAGCAAAATTGAAAATTAATCAAGCGTTGAAATATAGTTACTTTGAAAACCTAGGAAATAAATTTTGGGTCACAAATAGCAATGGTTTCCAAATTTTTCCTCTTCTGAAGAATATTTTTCTCCCGCCTCCATTCCCCCCTAAAGTTTAGGAAGTACAAATACACTACACTTCCGATCAGTGTTTCTACCCTATGAAGTATATATGAAACAGCAGAAACCATTTGCAGATAATTTTCATATAAACCCCATAAATTTCAAAGAAATGAGATGAGTCCACAGCATGAAAATAAATTATTTTTACCTAGGTCCTCCCCTTGCCGTTTCTTACTGATTTTTATACATAAAACTATTTTAGCCTCTTCCCCAAAAGAAAATGAAAAATTACGCTACTAATGGTATTTTGGACTGAAATAGAAGATCACCATAAGGCAGACAGTCCTTCTACACTTAGGTTACTAGCTTGCTTTAAATTAATACTTTGCTCATATTAAATAAGTTATTGTTATGAAGGTAATAAAATTTCAACTTTGTAAACTATTTTCCACAGGCATTTCTTGATAACGCCTAAAATGGTTTGCATTTTTTTTTAAAATTTTTGTTTGTTTTGTTTTTCCTTCTTTCCTTACTTCTTTAATGGATGTAAGCAGGATTTTAATAATGGGGTGAGATTTTACAAATTACGTTTCAGTCTAGGAGAGCAAGAGAAAATGGCACTCTTCCATTCTACGTTCACTGTGTTCATTGCACATTGTAGTTACATTCAGCACAGGCTTCTCCACTGTCGCTTCAGTTTTGGCAGGGATTACACATGCTCTCCCACTATTAAAATTCTGACCTGCTTGATTAGGTTCCCTAGCAGAAGACTATTGTGAAAACAAAGTAATTTTAAATCATAATTTGCTGTCTGTAAATAATTTCAGTTATTAGAAGACTCTACTGAAAGGTTTTTTTATTTTGTAAACCCAAATTTTAGGCAGACAGTGTGGCAAAGTAATTCTGATAAAGTAGCAGTGATATTGCTGTTACTCATTGATACTGCTTTGTTATTTACCGGTTATCACAGTATTGTCACTGCAGGTGTCAATATGTATCTATATGCATCTTCTAGTAAGATTGCTACCCAGTACTTCATACTAGATTACTGCACTAGTCCCTCTTTATTATTAATTACATGTAGACATCTTTTCTTGTCATGTGAAGAGTCTTCTCTAGTCTTGCCATAAAAAACGGTAAAATGCATCAAAGCTAAGACTGGCAAAATATAACTCATCTGAATCAATAATTACCACAAGTTACATTTATAAATGTTCATATCAATAACCAAGCTTAGTTCTGTTTCTCGGACCACGCAGGACGAGGAAGGGTAATTATAAGGAACTTAATGTAAGAAAAGATTAAAAGTATCTCAATATTTTGGAAAAAAAATTAAATTTCACTAACACAAACAGTATTTGCCTGAAATAATGTGCAAAGAAGCATCTGTTAAAACAGAAAATCCTCTATCTATGCAATACTATTTACGAGGTTAGAAAAGCAAGTTTTATTCATTTCTATGAACGTTTAAATGTTTAAGCCAGCAACATCTTACAGTTTTCCTCACATGTCTTTAAAAAGGAAAAAGATCAGCCAGTAACAAGAAACTAGAGCTTTATTAATATATTTTATTTTTAAAATAAAACATAATGGAAGTATTATTTTGATGTATTTGCAGCAATGTTGCAGCATTCAAAATTCATTCAGAATTTACCATTTTCAGACCAGATCTTCAACCTTTCAAAGGTAGTTTTACTAAAGAATAGCCAATCTGAAATTAGGAATCCTAAATTCTTGCAAACACAAACATACACCACCTGGTTTATAATCCTTAAGGGGCAGAACACAACCCACTAAGGTTCACAAGCTGGAAATCAGGTAAGATTTTAATGCAAAGTTAATACGGAAGTGGGTCACCATTGTAGTACGTCTAAGTAAAAGAAACCAAAAAGTGTAGTGAGCCTATGAAGTGAGCTTAACGTATTTCAGATGTATTAGCACTTTAATCACTTGGACTTGAAAGCCACATTTTGGAACATAGCCAGTATAACTACAGACTTAATTGCTTCACCAACAATTATACAAGGAGTCTGAAGAACAGCGTACCTATGAAGAAGTATGAATACCCACACAGAGCAATATTTTAAAATATTAAGCATACCTGTGTCCGCAGAATTTCACCCTTTGACAGTTGCATGTCACCAGTCAACTCTTTCACAGTAATGCCTAGTGGTTCCAGACGCTTGCTGAAGTAATTTGTCATTTCAGCTGCCAACGCCTTCATAGGAGCCACATACACAATCTGCACCAAAAGGACACTCGCTTGATAAATGAGCAAACCCCACAGTGTTGTTTGTTTCATGGCAACCATTACAAATCACAATTTATTGTGAAATATGATGCCGGGCGCTCACAGTGAAAAAAACTTAATAGTGATATATGAAAAGTAGTTATCTTTGTTGGATAAGTGTGCAGCTGTTTAAAGGACAATGGATTTTGTTTATACAGCCTCATCACTTTGAAAATTGGTTCTGCATCAAAGCTAAATGCGTTTTCATAGCTTTTTACTCGCATAATAAGATTTTTAGAACACAAATAAGAATAGCTTTAACAATAATGAAGTAAATCAAAACTAGCCTTATCTTTGCCTTGAAAAAGTATAATACCCTTGAAAACTTCCTGATTTCATATTCCATGCATAATGCGTAATGGGCTTTACCTTATGAGTTAAAAAGCTGTTACTTGGTTCATTAAACTCCTACCTTAAACTCATCCTTTTTGATGACACCATGCTGGACATGCTGGCGAATTTCATGAAGGACTGTCAGCATGGCAATGTTTGTCTTCCCAGCTCCAGTGGGGGCACAGATTAGCATGTTCTCATTCGTGTTGTAGGCAGTCTCAAAAACTATAGACTGGATTCGGTTTAGTCTTTTCATGCCTTTAAAAGCAAGTTGTCCAATCTGTTAAAACAAACAACACGCACATTTTTGATTTTTCACATATATACACACACACACACAACTCTCTATATATGTACTACATATATAGATACACTCAAATGCATAATCACAAGAAAAAAACACCTCGTAACAGAACTTAGAATGTCTGTTGAAATATTTTTATTATTCCAAGGTCTTTATTCTGAGGCAACCATTCCGACCCAGCCCTCAAATACAAATGTGTAAGGAAAACAAAATTTAGCAGGATAACATCTGCTGAAGTAAACTAAAATATTTAGCCCCATGCTATTTTAATTTATTTTTAATAAAGACTGTGACTAAAATTGATATACAGTAAAATAATGACCTAATAATAATTAAACAGCAGCAAAACAGCAATAGTCAGATTAGAAGAATATACATCTTTAAGATGACAAACTGAGGCTACTTTAATGGAAGAAGTGGCAGCAATACACAGGAACCTGCTGAAGAAAGAGATGATTAAAAAAATTATTCAATTAATTTTGTGTAATAAAGTTTAATTATGCAAACACACACAAATCCAATGACAACCTTCTCTTTGCTTGAGGAAATCTGTCTTGCAGTCGTTACTGTTCAGATCTTTCTCTGACAATACGTATAAAAAACTTCAGCCTCCAAAAGGAATAGAAAACTTGCATGAGCAGTCCCAAGTAAACTTCGAGATTTTTAAATAAAATTAAATTATATAGTTAGCAGAGTCAACTATAGTTATTATAGTATAATGCATGTTTACATCTTATAAAGTACAAATCACCAATTATAAAGATACTTTGTTCCTCTTGTTCTCTGAAAAATGAGATTTTCACTAAGAAAGAACTGCTATAGACAGAATTTCTGCATCTGAAGATGCTAAAATTTTTGCAGCTGAAGAACAGACCTGAAGATATAAAATTAATTTTCTAATAAACTTGCCCCTTTTCAGTCACTTTTCACAAATACCTAAAAGACACTACAGAACAAATACTTCCTTTCTACAGATTTAATTACCTTCATTGCTACTAATAATCATAGAAAACATCTTACTAATTTTTTTTTTATTATTATGACTTTTATTTTTATTGTAGGAAGCCACAAAAGTACAAATTCACCATAAAAAAGTCCTGAAAACACCTTCTGAAGGTCCCCCATTCCATTATTCTGAGTGCTTTAGGCAATTTACAGTCATGTGCTATGATAATAGCCTCTCCAATACTAGTAATATTCTTTCTAATACTAAGCAAATTATTTGAGCAGGACCTGATCTATTACTACCTCAAGTAATGCACACTTAGAAATGAGGGCTTCACCAGCTATTCAAATCAATTGTTAAGCTATTGCTGCATCTTCTTGGATGTGAGATCTTCTCTCATGTGAGAGGCTGAGATGCAAAACACAAATTTAGGTTAGTACACCATTTTCACAATACATGACAACATTCTACTCAAATGTAGAGGAATGACCTACTTACTGATTGTCCAGCTGTAGTTCTATTCTACAAGTCTTTAAATACTAAACCCCAATGTTCATTGATACACTAAGTCAATGAAAATACTATATAATCAATACACTTTCTTTTAGGAAAATGTGCTTTGTCTTAGTGAAGCTTTCAGGTGGAAAATGTCTTGTGAAACACTTTTCTATTTATGGGATTGACATATCTCAAATCTATTCAGACGTCTAATCTAAACTCTTTCCTGTCTTTGATGAAGAAAATTAAATGTATCTAGCACAAGTACTTCCAGTACTTTTCAGCAAGTTTCTTCAGTTTTTTTAAGTGGCTGAATTTCAGGATTATAACAGTTTGCCACTATTAATGTTCTCTCACAGTTTATTCTGCTTGCAAGATTGTAGGGGAAAAGCTTATTTTTCTCACCAAGTTTTGTATATATAACATTTAGTTGGTGTGTCATCTCCAAAGTTCATTTCATCTTCATGAATGAGACTATTATAAAGTGTTAATGGGTTTCCTGGAAACCTGCTGATTACATTAGTGCTATCAGGGTTCAATCAGCTATTTTTATGGCCTCCTTAGTCATTTGAGGTTTCTCATTTGCCTGTTACTTCATTTTGAGATTTCTTGACAGCTCTTTGAAAATGGTTTTATTTTTCCTTTTGCCTGTCACTTCATCTAATTGGTTTTAGAAGCTATTATAAACACTGCAAAGTTCACATTGATAGACACTGTTTACGGTGCTTATAATGAAGGATCTATGGAGCGAAACTCACAAACACAACTGGTGATTACAGAATTGAAGAAAACACTACATTGCATGTATATAACATATATTATTTGCAGAAGCAGTTTCTAAACAAAAGTAGAAATATAGTTGTCCGAATGAATTCCAGGGTAAGTATCTTCAGAAAAGAATGATGGGAATTTTTCACAGTCACAGAATCAAATGCGTGTGGCTTCACACAGTTCTCCTTATAGTTATGTGATGGTTAATACCTCTAAATAAAGTTATGTCTTTAAGTGTTCCCTTACACTACTGCCTGTAGGGATATATTGTTTTAGCTTTTCTTAGTGGGCAGTGTAAGACACCTTTTTCCACTACATTTGGAAGAAAGTATATATGTTATAGCCATGCAACATGCAATTGTTAGCAAAAAAAAAAAAAAAAAGTATTTAAATAAATAAAAATAAATTGTTTTCTTTTTTCTATTGGAAAGTAACAAGACCACTTGTTGCTACTTGGTAAGCAGCAATAAACATGTTCCAGAAGCACCAGAGGAAGCTGTGTAGCAAGTTACAAAAACAAATGTTGGCTTGTTTTCTGGAAAGATGCTAATCCTACTGAAACAAGAACATTAACAGTGGAATAAAGATTAATAAAAATAAAACCCATAAAAGCCTGAGTAAGAACTAGAAGTACACTTTTTTTTTTTTTTTTAATAAATATATTCTGACCAGAATCTATCTAGACATTCACTCAACACACTAATTTTCAAGTAACTCGAAAGAAAAAATGCAGGCACTGAGAAATCAATATGCAACATTCACAATCAGCATACACAGTCAATGTATAATATTTTTTTGAAAGGTGACTCTACAGGAACATACCAAGGACTGAATAAGCTACAAGAAAAAGGAATTCCAGAGAAAAACAGCATCTCAAGACTTCTTCAAACCAGCTCCCCCTTCGGTTGAAAAAAATATTACAGGCTACTCTTCCCAACAACTTCATTTTATATCAGTTAAATACAAGTGCATAATCCAAAAATCAGTAGTTCTGCCCTTAAAGAAAAAAGAACAATAGACAGATATTCAACAGTACACAGAGAACTCCAGTTTGACAAACATACCAGAAGATTTGCTTTTTTAATCTGTCATTTGCACAAGCTGCCTAGTTTGAAGGCCGAAAACAATTTTTTTCCCCTCTAGCATATTAGCATCAGTCAAGACTTCTACAGACAATTCTTCTTCAGATAAACCAGTGAAATCCCTTCTTATTTAAAGGATTGGTAGCCACTGGATGGCATAATCTGATTTTTAATGAAGGTGAATGAGATGCAACATTTTTCAGCTTTCTGTTCCACAGCTGATTTATCCCTAGTATTCTACACAAATCAAAATAAGTTTAAGCAGAACACAACCTGAGTGCATTTCTCAAACACAATTTCATGCCTAAAATGGTGCCATTTTTACATAAGCATGAATCAATGTTAAAGACCACTGAAAAGCAACTCTTTCCACAAACCACATATTTAAGACAGCTCTGATACGAATGTATAAAACCTTTATTTCTACCAGTAAGCCTTCCAATTCTTTCCCAAGAAATATATTATTACAAGTAATGCATTTACAAGTAAATGAGATTACACTTAACGAAGATATTCTAAATTAGTTGTTTCATTAAAAAGCCATTTTTGTGTAGGTGCTCTAACACCGATTTAAAAATAGGATGAAACTGTTAAATTCATTACAGTAAAATTCATTACTGAGTCCATACGATTCAGTCTGCAGAGAAGTAACAGCTCAGAGACACAACTGCTTTAGCAACATGACAGTAACAGTGTGTCCTGGTTCCGTGTAAAAAGGGGTTCAGGGCAGGACCCACACGGAACAGAACTATGTACTCGCCTCTCTCCCCCCCGAGAGAGAGAGAGAGAGACACTTTGGAAAAAAAAAATGCAGTATATTGTTCAACAAGGAACAGAAAACGAAAAAGGGAGGTAAGGAAAATAATATATATAAAGATTAGGGGAATAATACAAAACCCTCAGAAATGGTTCCAGGGTCCCACGGAGTGAAAGGAGAACTTTCCTCTCCGAGCTCCAAGGCAGGAGTGAAATAAGAAACCACTCCCTGCCTCTTATCAGAGTGTGTGTGGGAAGGGGCGGGAATACAATGGTTTCACACCCACCCGGGGTCCTCCCAGTTGCTGGAAGGTCACGACCCCATTCCAAGCCTCAAACCACAACACAGTGTCTGTTCCAAATAGGACTCGCCATCAGCACTTCAGGCAGAGTTCTAGTCACACAATTCATTAGCTAGACCATGTACTCGTACAGGGTTTAATAAGTATTATACAGAAGATACTCACTTCTTTACCACAGTTCATCTGTGCAACTTGCTGTATTCTATGGTCTATAGCACTCTCCCTCACCCAGAACAAAAGGGTGCTCACTACAAGTTCCATTAAAAGCTGAGATCTTCTTTCACTCTCTGTATCACTTTATGCATTAACACTAGTTTACAGAAACAGCCTGTCAGATGCAATTAACTTCAGTATCAGGCATTTTCACTTGGTGGCCCAGTGTGCTCTTAAGTCAGCTGTAAGTTACAATGCCAGCATTTTAGTGGCAGCTTCTAAACTCAGTCTTGGCATGCATAGACATAGCATAATCATAGCATAATATGTCTTAACTAATCTATCCAGAGCAACACAAGGGAAAAAAAAAAAAAAAAACAAACCAAAAACCAAAACATAACTGCATTTAATTCCTAGCAATGTATCCAGAAAATACGCTTGGGTGTTAGCACCCTTAGAATCATTATA